ATCTGCCTTCAGCCACTATGACCATCACTGCTGGAATCAGCTTCCAGAAATGATCAGATGTGCACCAACATTAGGCACATTCAAATCAAGACTGAAAACACATCTGTTTAGCTGTGCCTTTACTGAATGAGCACTGTGCTGCATCCGACAGATTGCACTATCATGTTTTTCTCTTCTTCTTCATTCTTTTATATCACATTTTACCTGTTTTTATGTTTTGTTTTGTTTTTACGCATTTTTATTATTTGTTTTTATTTTTATTTTACTTGTTTCTTTTATTCTTGTTTATGTAAAGCACTTTGAATTGTATGAAATGTGCTATACAAATAAACTTGCCTTGCCTTGTAAGTGTTCATTAGCGAGTATGGATGATGCAATACTCGACGCATGTGGCACACTTATATGATTATAATCAGTAATCAGTGATAATACTGAACATAGGCATAGACAGCTAAACATTTTGCTATATAAATGATAAATAGCACTTCAAATGGTCACTCACTTGTATTTGAACGCACTCAGCAATAACAATGTGATGCTAGTGAAGTTGTCCGTGCTCTGCACTGTTTTTCCTGTTAACTTTTTAAGGCTATAGAGTGGAGGAACTATGACGTCAATTTGTATGCAAAAACCCGGTAGTGAGTAAGCATTATAGCAGTTCTGGTTCCCTCTTTCTAAAGTCAATGGGTTTTTTCAATAGGATTTCAGTTAAATCGCCTAAATAAGGTTCGTGGCTAACATAAACTCAAGATACTTTCACGTTTTATTCTATGACAGGGGTCACCAAACTTATTCCCGGAGGGCCGGTGCCCTACAGACTTTAGCTCCAACTCTAATCAAACACACCTGAACAAGCTAATCAAGTGTTGTGTGTGACTTATAAGCTGCGTCCCAAGTGGCACACTATGCACTCATGCACTATGTACTTATGCACTTACACACTCAACAGGATAGTATATGACGGTAGTGGCGTCCCAAATGGCACACTAATGTTTTTTTTACTATGCGGAAATTCAAACCGTTTTCCTGATGACGAATGACGGTCGCCAAATCAGTGAAATAAACGACCGGCTTATCAAATAATACCTGCCGTGAGTATTATCGCATTCACCATTGGGAGGCGCTCTAATCACTTTCGTTGGAGAATTTTGCTTTCACCATCCAAAATAAATAAAGTTATCCAACATGTGCGCCCGATAGCTCCGCCCCTTCCGCTACGTAAGCAAACCTGCGGTCGTTGAGTGCGCACTCATGAAGTGTCCATCATTACACACTTCATTATACCAGCTGAATAAGTGCATCATCCGGGTAATTTAAGTGCACTTATTATTTTTTTTTTAGGTGTGAAAACACTACTTACACTATTTATACTACAAAATGGCGTAGAATAGTGCATAAGTATGCGATTTGGGACGCACCCAAGGTCTTACTAGGTATACTTGAAACATCCAGGCAGATGTGGTGAGGCAAGCTGGAGCTAAACCCAGCAGGGACACCAGCCCTCCAGGACAGAGATTGGTGACCCCTGATCTACAATGTAAAACACATCAGCTACAGCACACTCTTGATCTTTAAAATCGCTTGCGCTTCTTTAAAAAGACGGCTGCCATCCAGTTTCTAAATGGGACTACAGGCGGTGTCGGAGGCATTATACGTCTGGAGTGCAGCCCGCTTGTGTTGGACATTAGGATTTGTCTGTGATTTGAGTATTTTCATGAATAGTACTAGATTAGTAATAGTTTGTAGTGTTTTTCTGATTGGGAATTCAGATTGTGCGTAGATGATGCCTACACTTGTGGAGGCTGTCGAGACTTTTTAATTTGTTGATCATTTATTTTAATTAAGCGATATTATGAAGATACTGCTCACCAGTGCAGCAGCCTGTCTCTGTCCGGCTCTCTGTAATGCAAACATGTGAATAAATGTGTAAAATTACACACATATTATCTGTCATTTTCACGTGATCGTCAGTTTTTTTCTTCATCTGAACACATTTAACTCTGTCATAACTGCAGTATTTACACTCCTCCATAAACTGTACAGCAGATGTGAGTGTATGGGCTGCTTTTCACTGTACTTCGTGACATACAAAAGTATACTGAATGTTGTTCTCGATCCATCATAGAACTTGCAGGCGTATAGACTTGTCCCTCATGCCTCGATTCTGTCGTCTGTTAAGGTAAGCGGGCTGTGTGCACGCGAGCGATGCACTTACTTAAATATGTCTTATGCTATGTAGGCACATTTAAACATACAGTTTTAAAACTTTTACAACAACTGTAAAGCAAAACAGATGTATTTCCCACGTAAAAACATAGGGCTATATAGATGTGTTTTTGCGTATTTATTAGTGCTGTCAATCGATTAAAAAAACAACAAATTAATCGCATTTTAAAAATTAATTGCGATTAATCACATTTAAAATACTGAAACTTGTAATTTTGGCTATTCAAATGTAAAATTACTGTAAACGCAAGACAAAAACTATTTAAATTCAAAATATTATTGTTTATTAGAATTTTTGTTTAACTTGTAACACAGATTTCTTCATGTAAACAACAAACCCACAATAAACCATCAAGATACTGTCCTGACAGCCATATTTATTACATAAATTAAAACACAGGCATGTTAATGCCATTTGAATTTCAAAACAATCAATGCCAATAAAGAAAACATTGATTTCCATGTGGACTGCAAAAAATGCCCAAATACAGGCAAAGCAGATATGCAAAATGGAAAATTATAATAATAAAGTATTGAACACAAACAACTGCACTCAACAGGAAAAAACAAACAAACTGCAACTGCATTAATTGCGTAAATTTTTTTTAAACGCAATTCAAATTAATATATTTCAAATAATAATAATATTTCAAATTAATCGCATGCGTTAACGCACTAATTTTGAGAGCAGTAGTATTTATTTGTTTATAATATATAGCGTGCATTATAATATAAACAGAGAAATTAAATCTGTCACAGACATTTCAATTTCAATTATTTTTTTCAATTATTTTTCATTTTATTTTCAGTCCTTGCGTTTGCTTTTAAGATCCAAAAGTGCTGAAAGTTGTATTTTGGTGTGAGGATTATGCGGCTGGACAAAACGTGTAAGTGTAATGAACAGTGTTTAAACACCGAGCTTATTATTCGCAATCTTCAAAAAGCCCATCGGAAAAATCCTGTAGGGATTTTATTGAGGGAACCAGTTTTATGCTAGCAGCCGATTAGCCCACAAGGTGACGTCATATCATAGTTCCTCCACTCCATATGAGGCGTCTGCGTAAAAGAAGTACAATTTAAAATATTAAATGATATATACCCTTCTAATAGATTCTTACACCTTAAGTTTAACTTAGAAAACTCACCATGCCATTTATGTAAACACTTTAGTGAAGACACAGAACACATATTTTTCTCTTGCAGCGCCGCTCAATCATTTTTGGAAAAAAGTACAAGACTGGTTGATAATAAAAAATGTGGATGCTGAAGGTTTGACTTTTACATTACAAGATGAACTATATGGAATTACTAAAGATTGCTCTACTTTGCACGATTTGATAAATATGATAATTGTGTTAGCCAAATATTTTATTCATAAAACATCTCCATTATTGTATTTAAAAAAGAACTTAAAATATTTTCAGATGCCCTGGTTAAAATGAAAACAAAAATTGCCTTAAAAAATATTTGTAGTATATAACTTGCCATAGATGATATATATGTTGTACTTAATTTTTATTTATTTATTTATTTATTTAATTTTTGCGTTTTCCTTTCACTCTTGGATTTATTTAAACTTGAATGTTTTTTGTATACTACATTTGTATCTTTGTATGTTATTTTGTGTTGAGCCTTCCATATATGACACACAAGTTGTAAAGTTGAATCCCATTTTGTTGTATTTAGATTTTGTATTTTCAATAAAAAAAAAACAAAAAAAAAAAACGGAAAAATATCTATATGAGGCGTCTGCGTCATGACTGTAATATTGAGTAGAGTCACAGGAGGGCGCTATTGTTCTGTCTACACACATCACAGCCTTTTCTACAGTGTAAATATGTCAATAAAAATAGTAAATACCATCTGATCATTGTCATAAAAACGATTTGGAATTTGAAACATTGATCTTTGTGTTTTGCTGACTACTTTTAGTTGTCATTTTCTGTGTGTTTTGATGGATGAATGAGGTTATCTGTTAGTTGTTGTGAGCTGTGTATGATTGTTGTGAGCATATGTAAGCTGAATACACCGTGACAGGGGTCTTGTGGTGGATCTCAGCTGTAAGAGCAGCAAACAGCTTGACTTCTAGTTGATCATGTGTGAAAGTGTCAGAAGGTGGATTATTCAGATGAATCATCTGCTGATCTGCATCCCAATCATGACCAATACTGCAGAAGACCTACTGGAACCAGCATCAACATCGGGATATAAAAATACGGGAATGCCCCTACAACTGTTACGAATATGGAGAGGAGATGAGCTTCAAATGAGAGAATACATAACAAACATTAGAAAATTACAAATAAAATGAAAGGTTTAGCTTATTAAAATCAATTTACTGATCATATCAGTGTCATCGTACATCGTAAAGGGTTAAAAGTGTGTTCATTTTTTAACTTTAATTGTTCAACCATTCCTCCGCTTACCACTAGAAGGAAGCCTGCCTGTTTGAGAACCACTGGTCGAAGCAGAGTCAGAGCTTACTGTCCTAATCAAATCATTAATAATCAAGACATGATCATGTTTTATTGTGCTCATATAAGCAAAATCTAGAGGCCTTTGCCTTTCATATAAGACACTTCTGACACTTATTCATCAGCTAGAAGTCCAGTTATTATTCGCTGTTCCTAAATCTTGAAAAGGCTTTTGTCAGTGAGTGTACTGCTTAATCTTGATTAGGACGCTTTTTTAAAAGGGGTTTTTAATCTCTATGTGCTTTTTTTCCTGGTAAAATAAAAGCAATAATAATAACAATAATAATAGTCTGTGTGTTTCCTCCATTAGGTCATCGCTCCATGGAGGATTCCTGAGTTTTACAACCGTTTCCGTGGCCGGAAGGACCTGATGGAATACGCAGAGGTGATCAGTACATCTACAGCTCCTCTAAACAAACTCCGTGAATGCGCGCTATGATACATATTTTTTCATAAATACAGTCACAGTTATGTTAAGCTTAATTGTTATATTAGGAGCGGATTAAATATATATTTATGAATATATTATTATTATTATTATTATTATTATTATTTTGATCTAGAAGAAGTGTTAATATGTTAATGAACTTTTTTATATGAGGGACTATAAAGATCATTAATAGACCTGATAGAAGTCTTGGACATTTCTTTAAAAAAATTTAAATTAAAAGTATAAATATTTTTTAAGTATCTCGCATTTTGAGTAAATAATAATAAAAATAGTTAATAACAATAACAGTAATTAATAATTGTAATAGTAAACCTTTATAATAATTATTATTAATATCAGTATTATTATTATAATACTTTTTAATCCAGTATAAGCATTTATATAATAATATACTGTATATATGAGGAAATATAAAGAATCTTTTGTGACCTGATAGAAGTCTTGGACATTTCTAGAAAATATACTATAATATAGTATATAATATAGTATTTTTTTTTCAAAGAATCTGGCATTTGTAAGTAAATAATAAAAAATAATAACAATGGGAGTAAATAGTAATAGCATACTTTTATAATAATAATAATTTTATTATTATTAATGATATTATTCATGTTATTATTATTATTATTTTTAATCCAGTATAAGTATTTATATTTGGTACTTTTAAAATTAAAAGTATAAATATATTTTTAAGTATCTGGCATTTGTGAGTAAATAATAATAATAATAATAATAATAATAATAAACAATAACAACAATAATAGTAATAGTATACTTTTATAATAATAATAATAATTATTATATTTATATTTTAATGATTTTTAATCCAGTTTAAATTTTTTAAATTACAATTTAAAGTATAAATATATTTTAAAGTATCTGGCATTTGTGTGTGAATAATAATAAGAATAATAATAGTAAATACGAATAACAATAACAGTAATTATAAATAGTAATAGTACACCTTTATAATAATTATAGTTATTAATATCAATATTATTATTATTTATTTAAAGAATTTTTAATCCAGTTCTATTCAATTTATTTCTCTAGCGCTTTTACTATGTGGATTGTGTCAGAGATGCTTCACATAGAAGATCTAGTAAACTGAAACCGTGTCAGTCCAGTTTACAGAGTTTAATTTTAGTTCAGCTCAGTTCAGTGTGGTTTAATAATCAATACTGAAAGTCCAAACACTGAAGAGCAAATCCATCCATGCGCAGCTCCACAAGTCCTGAACCATGCAAGCCAGTGGCGACAGTATAAAAATTATAATAGTATAAAAGTAAATATAGAAATTCCAGTATAATAATTTATGTATAAATATTATAAATATACTGCACATATATAAGGGGAATACAAAACATAATTTGTAGACCTGAAAAAAGTCTTGGTCATTTTTATAAAATATACTATAAATATATATATATATATATATATATATATATATATATATATATATATATATATATATATATATATATATATATATATATATATATATATATATATATATATATATATATATATATATATATATATATATATATATATTTATATATATATATATATATATATATATATATATATATATATATATATATATATATATATATATATATATATATATA